GGTCTCTCCCAGGCATCATGTGACGTCATCGCTCTCATGGACGTTGCTGGTCATTGTAGATAATTGGTTTAATATTGATCGTGAAGATTATAGATCAGATGATATAAGGCGCGGAGAGTTGAGAGAGAGGGGGAGTGGGGGATGCAATTACGTTGATACTAAGGAGAATTTCTGCCGAAGTCGATGTTGATCTTTTACATCTCGGTGCCACTGGCTACGTCACTTCTCGGGATTGTTTTTCTTTTCTTTTTTTCTTTTTTTTGGGGGGTGGATATTTTCTTCGTTGCTGTCATTATCATCGCCATCAATATTATTGGTGGTATCGTCATGATCAACATTATCGGCATTACTATCATCGGTTTTATGATCTTATCATCATTATCATCATTCTCATCTTTCTTATTGTCATCTTCATCGCCATCCCCATCGCCATCATCATCATCATCTTCATCACCATAATCATCATAACTACCATCATTATGATCGTTATCATCATCACCATAATCATCATCATCATCATCATCATCATCATCATCATCATCATCATCATCATCATCATCATCATCATCACCATCACCATCACCATCACCGCCATGCTCCCCCCCCAGCACCACCGCCGAGGCCCCACCGCAGCCAAACGACCGGCGACCCAACTTTGGCTAATACACCGCCCAACAAGCGCCTCCTCCTCAGCATCATGGCTTCTGCCGTAAAAAGCAGGCGGCGGCGCCATCCAGGGCTGTCTTCGCATCTATTGCCGAAACGCTCGCCATTACTGACTCTGACAGCGCGTTATTACCAAAATTATGATTATTACCGCTCGTTCCTTTAGCGTCTCTGCCACCAGCACCGACCACTTACATGGTGAAAAAAATGATATTTAGTTTAAGTTTACGCCCGTCACCGTCATGTTATTGCCGTCAGTTTGGTCTCCGAAGATTGAAAGCAAAACGCTAAGGGTAAGTGTGTTTTGCGTCACCGTCGTTTTCTTTCTGTCCCGTTTTCTTTATCTTATTCGCGATGGATAGCTTTCTACTTGGATTCTTTCCGATTGTTTATTGACTTTCCGTTCTCTTTAGTTTTTATTTTACTTTCTCTTTCCACTGAATCAATTATTTATCTAATCATTCTTTTAATCAAATTGGGGTTATCATCTCTCTATCTCCATTATGTCATGACATTATCGGTATCGTTGATAATCATCATCAATGTATGGTTATCATCGTGATCGCCTTCTTCGTTGTATTAACTATTTAATTAAACTTTCCGACTTAAATTTAGATATATGAAAGGTACATAATGACGGAGTTTCTGAAATAAATCGTTGACTTTACTAACTTTCCGATCAATATGCGTACATTAGACCATGACATGTGGTTCACAAACGAATTTTTTTATCGTCATTGGTAGCACTGGCCCTTAAGTAGATGAAAGTTGTTGTTTTTTTTTTATTTTTTAGAGAGGGAGTCGCAGAATCTGGCCCCACATACATAGCTAGTATATTCAGTAGTGTGTTTATCAGGGATTTCCATTAACGAAGAAACTCGATCGTGTCTATAGAATTTCATCAAGATGACTATTTACTGTAGAATCTTCTCCGTTCCGTCTCACTCCATCCTTGCGCTATCTCCACCCTTGAAAGCACTTACATTTCACTACTGTTCACTCAGCATCTGAGGCTAGAGATCGAAAATAGGTTCTTCTGGATGCTGTTCATATGGAAGCCAAAGGGGAAAGTTACAGTGGCATCAAATACTTTTTACGCTTGACATTATCACCAAATTCAGCATTCTGTATGCCTGAGCTACAGAGGAATCAGTATTTAGATATAAAATTTCTATCAAGAATTATTTTTCTCTTTTTTTGCGTAAAATGTATCTTGTCTGGACAAATATAAATCAAGCAGCTTTATTTTAGAAGCGCCAACATCGAATCTAGCAAATAACGGGAGTCCTGTTTGTCTTTTCCATAGGTTCATCCATACCTAAGCATATCACGCGCACATTCACATGTTAAAAAATAAAGAAAACAATGAAGGGAAGAGGAGAGAGAGGGTGGGAGATGGACAAGATATATAAAAGGAGAGAGAGAGAGAGAGAGAGAGAGAGAGAGAGAGAGAGAGAGAGAGAGAGAGAGAGAGAGAGAGGGAGAGAGAGAGAGAGAGAGAGAGAGAGAGAGAGAGAGAGAGAGAGAGAGAGAGAGAGAGAGAGAGAGAGAGATGACGGACATGTTTCATAATAGGAAAGAGAGTGTGTGTCAGAGAGACGGAGAGTGACAGAGGTGGGGAGAGAAAAGGCAAGATTCATAACAGGAAAGAGATAGAGAGAGAGAGAGGGGGGGAGGGGAGACAGAGAGAGTGAAGGGGGGGGGTGGACGAGTGCTCCATAACAGAATTTTACCCTGTCATCCTCTCTAAACGAGTCCGCTAACCCGTTCGCTTGACGCTACTCATATCAAGCCACCAGATTTTGATTATTTGATAACACGAGCGATAATGATG